CAAACGGGATTCTAAGATATAAGATAGATTAGTTATAAAGCGGTTGGACTGTACGCAATTCATGTATGTACATACAAATACCTAAATACAAATAAACATATTTGCAGACAGCTAGATTGCGTCAATGGGCGTATGGAGCATACAACGCTTGTTACCAAAAATAACAAGTTGTTGGGCAGATACCCAGGCTTTGTCTGTTGGCGCCTGTTACCGAAAGAACAGGAAGCAGCAGCCTCAGCAAACCTTACTCTGTCAACTATATGGTGGGAGGCACTGCTCTCTACTCAAAATGTTTATCGACAGTCAACAGCCTTGAGGAGACTGCAATCTTAACTTACGTATTCGTATTCGTACGTTAAGTTAAGAAATTCGTAGACCCATCGGCGATGGCGTGTGCAGCCTTGAACCCAATGCAAAAAACTTTCACTATGAAAAAAAGTTCAGTATCAAGGACTCAGCAATGAGCAGCATGTGGCTGCCACTCTTTCTTGTACCTCACATGCATATTTCTGTGTCGAAATAAAATTTCAATTCGTTTCGTTTCGTTTGCTTTCGCTTTTGCCTGTTTGGCGTCAGAGCGCAACACTGCGTATACGTAACATTGAGCAAGGCCGATAGAAAAGCGCTCTTTTCTTTTGCTCACATGGATATACATGTGTGTGTGTTTGAAAATATGCCTCTCTATATGTATGTGTGTGTTAAGGGTTTTTGAACTTGTTGGCTTCTTGGCACGCACGCAAAACACTCCCAAAGACCATACATACATATATCTCACAATTACTGTTTTTTTTTAGAACCAAATCCAACAGTTTTATCAAAATTAGCGACACGCGCACGCGGCTGTTTAGAAACTGCAAATAAAAACAGAGAGCAAACCTATACATATATTATATATATATTGTATGTATACATATGTACAAGTATGTATTTGGTGCTATCATGAAAATATGCATGTATTCGAATATATTTTTATTTTCTAGTCATGTGTTTGTATGAGACCGAACAAAACAAAGTCTGCAAAAGTATTTAAATATGTATTTACAAATTTATGACTTTACGAGATGCGTTCATTAAGTATTCAACCAGTTTTTGACATATGTTTTTGCAATGTTTATCAAATATGCTTGTAGCTGAATTTCTCCAGTTTAAAGAAAATGGTAACAATAAGGCTTAGGAATTATATAGGCCCTTACTATAGACAGATTAATGTTTGAATCGATAATACCTAATTTTAAGACATGTAGTTCATAGGATGGTAAATTTTTAGACAAGTAGATTATAGATTTGATATTGATCAATTTGCTGACTGAAAGACACGTTTTGTGATAAGTTCTGAGATTGATTGATAGATTGATAACTGTACTATATTATAAATGTATATGACATGAACGATACAAAAATATTTTCCAAATATGTAGTTCTTTTCTGTTTATCTGTTCATTTAGATAAGTCTATGATATTCTTTTTAAAATCACATAATGCTTTTCTTCAATCATTTTTTTTAAATTAATCATTATAACCTATTGTGAAAATGTTATATTACGTTTTTGTCAAGTATGTAACAGGCAGAAGGAAAAATTTTCACAAACAGAATATTAGATTACAGAGATGATGTTATAAGAGACCATAATTTCTGTCGGTAATCCATCCAAACTTTTTGTGCAGACTGTCCTAGTCCCTCATCAACAATAATTCTTCGCTCTTTTTCTTAAGTTTCCTTTTGCTATTTCCCTGTCAAACTTGGTCGACTGTAACATTCCCTTCATCTTTGACAACTGTCAATTGTAATTTTTCGGATTGGGTAAAATTCCTTCTTCCTTCCTTTTTAACATTCATTTTGAGCCAAATGATGAATAAACTTATGAAAACAACGCTTACCTGTGCAGCTATTAACATTCATGTATGTATCAAGTGGCTAATGATTTTGCCAAACGTATTGGTAAACAAACAAAAAAAAAGTATGATAAACACAGCATTTCTGTATCTATATCCACGACTGTCTGTACTTTTCCATACATAACATTTTAAACTCATGTATGTATGTATGTAGGAGCGACGCAGTAAGCCGATTTCTGTCCCCAAACTGTGCCATAAAAAGCAAAAGTAAATACTACGTGATTCGCCTATGTTTTTATGAACATATGTGCGAAAATATATTCGAGTATTTTATACCGTAAAAGTGCGCTACAAATAATTTGAAAAACTAAACAATAATATCAAGCAGAGTTATTGATTTAAATAAAGAATGAAATAGAGAGACAATGAAATAAAATATTCAACAAAACATATTGTTCTTGCCTTTTTCCTTTGTGTTTAAGCAAAGGATTTTATCTGATTCATCACGTTCATTCTGCTTATATAGTATAGTAGTGTGTGCCATGTGATCCAGAATAAATCCTTTGTTTAAAAATACCCTAATTTAGGAACACAAATCGCTTGATATCACTATCATTTCTTTATTCGTCAATTATTGGCCAACTTAGACAATATGTCTGTACTTCAAGTGTTTGTGGGATTTTTGATACAAAAACGGCTAAAAGAGTTCAATAAACAACTTGAAGTGCTCAATTAAGTTTATAATTGTCTCTTATATGCGATAGTTACTAAATGGCGTCCATGTTATCAAATGCCAGCTATAATAACAAAACTAATCAGGGTGAGACCTATATATAGTATACGTGGCTCACCCAAAACTATTAGAAACGAAAGCTTTGCTTTTATATCTTTTATTATATTGATGGCTGCCTTTTAAAATACTTCAAACATTTTCTATCTTTTCAAGGCAATGGCATTTTAACCTTCGACTTTTTTATAAATAAAATAAAAATGCACGTAATTATATTATTTCAGTTTGATTACGAAGACAGTAAAATGGAACGGCAAAGTCATTAAATTGCTCATATATAAGTACTATAATTTATAATTTATTTTAATCTACCGTTTCTTAAACAACTTTGTTTTCTATGATTTATCAATTATAGACCCATTGCTTATGCCGCCTTTTTTCAGCCCAGTCATCTAAAGACGATAACAGACTTCTACAAGCTAATATTAATATACAAGTATATTTATGTGCGGCTTAATTCAATTGGCTTTTATTTACTAGCCGGCAGCAGTGTTCAGGCCAGGTCCCCTTTACCCTAAACAAAGAACTTGCTCAGTTTCATTATCGGGCTGCGTAAGATGCTTCTTCTTTATGTTCGCGCTTTTTATAGGCAGCCAGAGAGATTCTACATACGAGTAGAGAGTGAGAGAGTATCAGTGGGTTGGGTGAGAAAAATACAGTGTGGTAGGGGACTAGGTGGCGAGCAAAAACAGCAAACTGTGTATATTTGCGTAGAGACACGTATTGTGAATTTTTCCGTCCTCGTTTCAGAAGGTGAAGAATGTGGTCTACACATCGGCTAAAAAAAGTTGCCTCAACACTTTGTTTTATTTACTTTTCAATGTTTGAAATACCTTTAAACTTATTGAAAAACGTATTTGCCAAAAAGTGTTCCTAAACCTGGCATTGAATTCAAAAGCGGAAATGCGAATCTTAAAATAACTAAAATAACTTCCCATTACTATAATTATTGTGGGAATAAAATGTATATCCTGTTCACCAGCGATATTTTGAGATTTAGGATTTGTATTTTTATTTATTAGTGTATTAGCAAACTTATAAATACTGATATTATTCGTCATTATACACATTATGTAGCAGGATTAACATAAAATTTTAAGTGATTAAGAAGCCTACTATCCAGATTTAGATGAAATATAACTTCCAAAATTAGTTCCTCAATATCTTTTCGACATTTTATTATTTTTTTATATTATTTGAGAAAATTTGCTTACTGAAAAGGTTACAGGTTGGCAGATTAAATATTCAACTTAAGTCAAACTTATTCGTTTTAAAAGATACCTTAGGAACATCCGATTTATATGAGTTCTCAACAGCCAATTCATAATGTGAAGTTTCAGTGAAATCTGTACACTTTATTATATAAAGGAATGATTGTAATTTTAGTTGAAATGATGTAGCACGAAAAATGATCAGTGCAGGGTATTTTAGAGTCGAGCTGGCACAACATTTACGATATGCTTGTCTTACCTAATGTAGCAAATTTCAGTCACCCTCGGATTTGAACCTAGTAGGATTAAAAACTAAAACCTCTCCCTTTTTTAACTCATAAAAGAAATTGCGGATTTTCAAAACAAAACAAAATTTCAATTATTTTTAGATAACTTTCGAAAAATGATTCGACCTATCAATCGCACGATTATACATATGTCATAATATCGTATGAAAGAATAAAGTCATCAAGACACACATATATATTTCTGATACTCAACCCAATAGACCTGCAAAAGCTGCATAATGTATGCAATAAAAATATTAAAATCCACAATAAACCGGCAAAGCCTGATATAAGCATAGTGTTTTTAGTTTCTGAGATTAGAATCGAAAGCTTAGGATATTAACTACCGACTATATTCTGTTAAGCTGATTCAAAAGTTGAGGATTTTCTTGAAATAACGCCCACTGTGCGTCGTCGCTAGACAGCGCGTCATAAATATTTATTGTATAATTTTTTGTTTCTTGCTCAAAAACGTTTTCGCCTCGACTCTGGCTGGCAATGCCTGCGGACTCGCTCGGCGCGTTCGGCTGCTGAATTCGAACTTAGTGAGCCGCCAGCTGTGCAGTTTAGTGCCCAGCGATACGACGCCGGTTGCGGAACTATTTAGCGGCGGCAGCAGCCAATTGCAAAAATAATAAGCAACAACAATTAATACAAGAACAACGAAGCACTTAGTGTAATTAGAAAGCGATAGCTTCTGCCGTTGTGCCGTTTAATCAAGTAAGCCGGCGGTGGTGATGCCGAGACTCTCGATTCAATTTTGATAAGAATTTTAGAAACAAACAAACAAACAAACGAATGATCAACGAAATTTTGAGTTTTTTGTCTCAATTCAGTTTCATTTTATTTTCTCTCAATATTCCCATTTGCTTGCAGCAACAAAATAGATAAGTTAAAAAGCTGAGCCACGCACACGTTCCACGGGCATCCAAAACATGTGAGAGTCAGACTGGCAGCCACTGCATGCCACAAGCCTCCACCAGCATGCCCCATTAGGACGCGGCAGAACGCAGCAAACTAGCAGCAGCAAAAACCACAACATCAAATACAGTTAACACGCACACAGACACACACATACACCCACAATAATCCACCCACACACGCAATTGAAAAAGTCACACGGCGGAAGCGATTAAAAACGCTAGCGATTTCGCAAGATGGCTCACTTCAGTGGACATCCAGCGCCGTCAGCGTCCGCTTCAGAGGTTCCTGCACACTTTAAGAACCTCTTCCTCAGCGGCCAGTTAGCCAAGAACGATGATGACGATAACAACAATGGGCAAGAGAATCGTCAGAACAACAACAACAACAACAACAATAACAATGGCAATCGTTTGGATGAGCCTGAATGCTGGGTTTTCGGCTACGGGTCGTTGTGCTGGTTTCCAGGCTTTCAATATAACAAATGCATAACTGGCTATATACGAGGTTTTGTGCGACGCTTTTGGCAGGGCAATGTAACACATCGGGGAACTGAGGACAAGGTGAGTACTACTTAGTTAAAGTACATATGTATATAGTAAAGGGTAGGGATAAGGCGCACACTAAACACCAGATTTGCAATGCCTCTGCATTCATGGTTAGTTTTTAGTCTAGTACGTAACAAAACTTGGCCACCTAATAGACACGATTTTAAAACATAACTCTGCCTTTTCTTTCCCCAATTTAATAGCAAAGGAATACTTATTTAATTCGTAACACTACTAAAAACATTTCTCTCTAATAATACCCAAAAAAAAAAAGACACATCTGTGATAGAAAGTAATCAATGTCACTATCTATAGTGTAGATGATGTTAAATTTTTCTCACCATCGATGATTTTTATTAAGCCATTCATGCCATGAAAAATAACAACTTGACAAGAACACACCTTTCGCAATCCCCATTGTTCGGTTAAAATTCCATTTCTAAGAGATGAACAATGATTATCATATGCTTGTATCAACAATTGCAACGTTTCGGAAAAAGTAGTTCCGATCCATCTATATGTGGTCTTGTTTGGGATGCACACATTAGTTTAAATAGTATTCTTTTCAGTTAGAGGCAAAACCACCAAATCGGACGTTTTTTCTATACTATATCCCGTACCCAAAAAAGAGGTGTACTTGTTTAGTGCGAGCTTAAACAACACAGAAAAGGAGGCGTGGCAGAATCCACCCAACAACATACATACATTCTTGCTTAGTATGTGAAGACAAGTCTTACATAGCCGTGCTTGTCTGTCCGTCCGAAAGTACATATTTTAGGAGACCTATAAGAGCTAGCGTAACCAACTTGGTATTCAGATTCCCCCAAACCCTAGGCGGGTCTAGCTTATTTTATTTTTTCTAATGAAACCATTTGGCTCAACTCTGTAATGAAAAGGAAATTAATCATAAACATATGTCTACCTATGTGTTGAATATATAGATATATTTTTTAATATTTTTTATTTTTTTATTTATTAATTAGAAAGTATGGCCCGCTCCGTTCTAGCAATCCTTTTTGTTTGAATTTATAAGTTTCCATCTCAAAACAATTAACAAATAAAATTCTTAAATTAAGGAGATTGTATTTACGAAATATTTTTGGCTGATTTGTTAATTCTACATACATATATTAGTTCAGTATTCATATAAAGAATTTTTATTCACAGATATTCTGATTCACATTTTATAGAAGATATATAATAGTATACTAAGTATGATATACCTATACATATTACAAATTTAAATCACGAACACAATAGCTCAAGCATACATACTACGTATATGTATGTACATGGCTATTGCTTTAGATTTTCTTTGTCATGTTTTCTAATAACATATGAATGAAACGTAATAAAAGTCAAAACGCCAATTAAATGTACCAGGTAGATGGATATACATATGTAGCTGTCATAAAAATCATTTGTCAGGAAGAGAGGAGACTTTACAGAGTACAGAACGTTGTATTTATTTTTCTTAAGCATTATAACGATTTCTTAACTAAATTATTCGTTCCAAACTGTTGCATTTGATCTGCAAATAATACAAAAAATAGCAGCTCAGCCTAAGCGTATTTTGTTTATGTTTATAAATATTCTAAAAATTAGTTACAAATGTGCATTCTCGGGCTCTCCGTGAAAATAGCCGCACTGGGGCGTTATCAGTAAGTGAGTGCCTCACTTCCAAATTTCAAGTGCACTTGACGTGTCAATGGGCTGAGACAACTGTCCCGATATTGACCGAAGGCAGTGTGTGTGGGGGTGTGGGTGTGTGTGCCTACATTACCTAAACGGCCGACCCACGTCCCCAATATGGCACACATTACTATTCATTACAATCTTTATTTGTTTGCGACACTTGTCGTTTTGTCGCTTTGTGTCTGTCTGGCATGAAAATAGTATTAAAACTATAGTACATTATGCATTTTATTGCAACTACTCGTAATTATTATTTGTCGACGCCCTTTATTTGCCAAATGAGCCAGAGCCTATACGCGTGTCTATTCAAAAACAACTGCCACTGTTTGTTTGTTATTGTTGTCTTTATTATCTATCTACAAGTTTTGTTATCAGCAACAACAAATATTGAATTAAATAAAAAAGGCAAAACTAACAAACAACCAGCTAGACTGGCCCAGACAATAATTAACATATGTCGATGTTGGCTCCTACTTTTACAAATTAATTAATTAATATACGGACAATTATTTGTATGTGTGTGTGTGTGTTGTTATCCGTAAAGAACGGGCTTTGCTAAATCGGCCAAACGGGTTAATTCGCACGCGTTTTTCGAAGCGTTTTAAGACGCGCGCAAAACGCGCACCGCCAAAAATTTCAAAATTTTCGAAATTCTTGAATGCTTGCTTTCCCATAGCAACCTCATGTAATATTTTATTTTAGCGCAGTGCTGAATCAAGTTATAAAACGAACGTTTTTCTTGAATTTATAGAAAAGAAAAGTTGAAGGGCGGATGTGGGTGTGGGTATATGTAGGTGTCATATAAAAATAAGTCAAGGTCCTCAGCTGATACAAAAAGTAAACAAATAGTCGACGAGCAATTGCAAACGCAGTGTCGACCCTTTGTCTTTAGTGAGTCGTGCCTTAATGCGCCATAAATTAAATCAGAAGTACAAGAACAACGCACATGCAATTATTTATAAAAATTCATTTTTTATTGTTTTTACAGCCTGGTCGTGTAGCAACGCTGGTGGAGGACAAAGAGGTAAGTCAAAAGATCACCGAGTAGGTTACCATAGTTAGGAGCAACCGACAATCAGATGCCCTATGTAAATATTGCATTCATTATAGCTTTGCAATCAAAACTTATCAAATAAATATGCAGGCATTATAACTATTAGGCGTTGTGTCTCTGGAGAGCTTTTGTTAATGAGAATACACGATATACAGTGAAATCTTAAGTGGGTGGACAAATTTCTTAGTGCCAAGTCTTTTGTTGTTCGTAGAATAAAATATATTCCAATGGGTACTGCGGAAACTAGATTTATTAAAATTACATACCAGCCATATTTTGCAGTCGGAATAAAAGCAGAATCATTAATAAATATTCCTCAAATTATAAATTGTTTTGGCGAAATGGAATTGGTAATAATGTGTGTGCAATTAATAATTATTTATTAGCAATGATAGCAATCATTAATGAATATCCCTCAAATTAAAAATTGTCTTACCCAAGGTCCACTCAGCCAAAACAATCTAACGACAAACTTCCTTCTATGCTGCGTGGTTACAATCCGGGCTAGAGCTGCCTGGAAACTTGTTTTCAAGGCGGAAAAATGTTGTTTTTCGATAGTTGGCTTGGCTTGCTATATACTATAGATATAAAAACTTTACCAAAACTTATCCATCCTTAAAAAAATTATCCCTATCAATTACATTTGTAGCTTAAACTTATATTTACATGGCATATATGTACATACTTATGTATCATAAATATGTAAATATCTAGAGACCCTTTTTATCCCAAAGCCACAAGGCTTGTTTCATTTATCATTACCTCTACTCCCACAAAATGTACCCTTTTTTTGTCATCTAATGTGATTTTTTTGCGCGCCAGAATTAATAACTTGTGCCACCATTTGGGCATTGGTTCCTTATCCAAACTGCTTTGGTCAGAGCTTTGAGTAATTTCAGAACCGATCGAAATCAAATTCATTCATATTTATAAAATTGTCAAATTAAATTAAATTCTATAGAGGAACGACTATATTGATTGACTGACCATTCTTATTAAAATCATACAAACACTATACTCTCCTTCAGACCGTACCAATAATTCGAAACAGAAATCTATTTTCCCACTTTGGTGTTGTAGAGTATTCAAAATGTAAAGTAAAGTATATAAAATATGATGCCGCAGCAAAAGTTTACAGTGCGCCCAGTTTGAATTTCTCAATGTAAGCCCCATTCCGTGTAAGCGAAATTTAATTCCGCCAACTCGTCCATAACTCAAGTAGTGTTGTAAAGCGCGCAAGCACAAAACCACACAACCTCTGGCAATTTCCGCAGACAAAACCGAGCGCAACAATTCGGAGGTTCCTCTTCATTGAAGTACGCAAGGCGCGCTTCCGCGAAATATAGGCGAATGTGCGGCGGCACCAAATAAGCACCGAAACACAATTTTTACACCTTGATACTTTCTATCCTAGGCCCGGGGACTTTACCCAGGGTGGAGGACCATGTGAAAAATACACATGTGAGCTACTGGGAGCTCGTTTGTGACCCCGAGAGACAAGCATGAAAGACTCAAAAGCAGCGGCAACCGGTAATGATAAGCAGCGGTATTTATTTAGCGTTATCGCCAAAAAACTACTTGGGAATTTTAACACAAAATATAAATATAGAAACGTTGTACGCTTGGCATACGAGTATTTTTAGAATGTAAGCAATTTGTATTTATTTTCTATTAAATTTTGGAATATTTATGGTTTATATTTTTTTTTGTGTATTTAGTTAAAAAATGTCTAAACTTTTTTTTGTGTACAACACAATTTTTCTAAAGGAACAAAATTTTAGAAATATGTTAGTTCTAATTAATTTTATTTTTAGGGTAGACTTCAAAATATTAAGATTATTTTTAAAGGTGTGTGAACAATTAGCTCTCCAGTAGCCTTTAAAAAAAATTGTTGTGTTGGTTGTCGTCGCAGTATTGACTAGTTTTTTATGCTGATTCGCTTATCTTTTTATTTAAGTAATAAATATTCTTTGCTTTCAGGGCATCACATGGGGCTGTGCTTACAGAATAACAGGCAATACGGCTCTCGAGTATCTTAAACAACGCGAGTGCACGTTAGGTAAGTTATAGGACCTCTAGTAATCGAACCATTGTTATAAGAGTATCTCTTTTGATATGCAAACAGGTGGCTATGCAACACTCGAAACGAAATTTTTTCCGCGCGTTGCTTCCTACGACACGCCCTTTAGCGGCGAAGCGGTCGAGGTCTTAGTCTATATTGCAACGCAGGAGAACGCGCACTGGTTGGGCGAGGCGCCGCTCGAGTTGGTGGCACACCAAATAGCCACTTGCCGTGGGCCAAGCGGTCACAATGCCGAATACCTGTTGCGTTTGGCGCTCTTTATGCACGATGAGATACCAGGGGTGCGGGATGAACACTTATTTGAGTTAGAGCGCCTGGTGCTGGAGGAGATTTATCGTTTGGAAATACCTCTATCGTCTGTGATGGGCCGTAATCCTGACCGCATCCGCCGTGACTCGCATGAGGATGTGCGTCGGCCGCCCTCCTTTGAGTTTACATCGCGCATACCGGAAACGAAGTTGCGCTGTCTGAACATTTGATTTTGGGACGGCGCCTTCAACAGGCATCAACTGGAAATTTGTGTCCAGCCAAAAGTGATATGCATGGCGTTATCGTGCTCGTGACCTTCGCATGGCATGTCTTTTATATTTTTCGCTCAAAACAAATTCCAATTTCATCAATGATATTCAAAAGCGTTGGGAAGAAGCACACACACACCACTCAATAGTCTATGACTAAATCCGCTGTATTCTCTAAATTGTAAATAACTTCCCTCGATAAGTGATCTGAACTAGTATGTAAGCCTGTAGATCTTAAAAAAGTAATTATAAGTTGTTGCTCGAGCGCACAGAAGCAAATTTTTATACAACAACAAATCATCCGCAGAGTTAAAATATAATAAAACTAAAACAAATGAACTCAAGTTCTTTTAATACAAAAAAGGATTTTCATCAAATGTACATTAATTGTGTAGGGTTAGGAGATTAATAAAGAAAATCACTCTAGCTTAAACTTAATTCGTGAGAATTTCCGCAGCACGATTTTCCATAAGTTTCTCCATTGATGTAATCGAACCCATCCAGGTATCCAATGTGCTGGCCATGCCAGCGATTTGGTTGCGGTTGAGTACGCGAGGTTGCACCCACGACATATTCACAACGCCAGCCACTTGATCAATCTCCCCGCGCACCAAATCTAAAGCCAGAGCCTTCATAACGAGCAGCTCGACTTCCTTAAGCGGCAGTTTGGTCTCTTGCGCAATATCCGCGAAGGAAATGGCACGTTCGATCGCCGACCGCTTGAATGTCATCTCCATAAGGCAGAGCAGCGAAATCTTTTGGCGCAGTTTGACTTCTTGGGCAGCCAGGTCGGGAATCTTAGACCAAATCTTTTTCATATCATTGAATCTGTTTTAAAAAAGGTATTACAAAATTGCGAACCTTTTTTTTTTAGATTTTTGTGGTCTTACTTGTTTATGTCTCCAGTGTTAAATGCTTTTAATAGCTGCACCAACCATTCATTATCTGTACCTTGCAGCGAACCTAGAATGGGATGAGCCAACAGCTCGCCTATGTTGTAGACGCCATCGCCCAATAGAGCGGCTAGACCAAGAAAGAATGCCTGTTGTGCCCATTGATCTTTCGGGAAGTCATCTAATGAGCAGCCCAGGAACTGCAGACCGCAGCGATAGTAGTCACTATGCTTGCCCACACGACGATAGTACTGAGATGCCAGCATGTAGTACTTTCCGTGCACCGGTGTCACATTACCTGCCTCCTCAAGCACATCACGCAGCTCCTCAATGATTTTCTTTGTTGCACTCAGATCGTTAAGATTAGTGAGATACAGATTTCCTTGCATGACCTGCAGATACCAGACAGCTTCGTCGCATATTTTCACCTTGTCCTTCATTTTCTCGAGAAATTCAATGGCCTCCTTTTTGTCGCTTATGTTATCAACAACCACCTCAAGAATTTGAATGAGTCCATAGGGGTTTATTCTGGAAAAAAAATTGTACATGTATTAACCCCAATATGCGGCGTCTTCAGGTAGACTCACTTTGTTTCGAAGGTGGATATAAAATTCTGGTATAGCTGCAGCAATGCAGTTTCATCTTGGAGGGCTTCACGACGCACAAATGTCACCAATTTGATGGTCAGCTCATTCCACAACCTGTTCAAATAAATGTTCATAATTGTATTTCTTGAAAAGCTGGAGATGCGGTAAAAATTCTCACTTTTCATTGTACAACTCCTCGATTATAGTCCATTCGGCAGCGAGATCTTTATCTGTGGTCTTCTTCTGGGCTGCCAAGTAAGCGGTGACAGTCGTTTGTGTATTTGACATTTTAGATCTGTTCACAACTGGGATGTATTTTCAGCAAATATCAATTTTAATGTAAATGTATAATTCCAAACTACAAAAAGTTGCAAATCACAATCGCCGACGCAGCTGTCAATATGACAGAGCTGAGTGGAAAAGTATCGATACAAAATGCTGGTAGTGTTGATAAAAACGAGCAAACTACCCCTGTGGCAACTCTACTGATGTAAACCGCATCGACAGAAAACCGTGAAAATCCGATGTCCTAAAGTGTAAAAACAAATTTTGGATTGCATTTTAAATGTTGTTAGAGCTTAATAAAAACAGAATAAATAGTTGGAACTGTTGTTCCAGTCTGCACAAAATCAATTTAAAATGAAGTAACTAGCTACTGTTTTTTAAATACCATAATGAGCGGGTTCCTAGTTCAATTCATAAAATTTTGCGCATAATATTCGTTTTTTAACCAAACAAGTTGGAAATCATATGTAAGTAAAATAATTTGAAAGTGTTATAATACACAGAGTTATTTAAATTTTATTGTAATGCCAGTGATGCCACCTGGGTGTCTGCTGCAACAGCTGGCAGCGTTCACCAGGGCCTCTGCATTTTGCTATCAATCGCTATCGATTTGTGTAGCACTCTATTCCATAAACAGTTCAACGACAACAGCTGGGCGACAAGTTCGAGTTGCGGACGGAAAAAGTGAATGAAGCTTAGTTTTTAATTGTTAAAGCTCAAAGGATACAATTCCAATCAATGTGCATCAAATCAAAGTTGTTCAATTAAAGCCAGTGCTAATCGTGCAACTCAACTTAAACGCAAGTCGCCGAATAGCTTCATAAGAATTAAAAATCAAGTGCACGACGTACTAGGCAACAACAAAGAGCCCTCAGCACCAATAACAATTTTTTTCCGTTTTATCAAAATAATAGAAGAAAACGAAATTTCACACCCTGCTTCAATGCAATGCCAACACAAATGTGCTGCAACAACTGTTACATAAATGTTATAATTATTTATTAAACCTTACAAAACGACGAACAAGTATGTTGGCTAGTTTGCAGCAAGTGCAGATAAACAGAACTAATAATACGCGTCATAATCTTCTAGTACAAGTAAAAAATAATACAAATTGAAGCGCCACTCCAGTTCAATTATTGTTATAGCTGTTAATATACATATAGATTAAACGGAGAGTCACGAAACCAAGCGGTGTTTGCATTTTGTTTGTGGAAGCGGCATTTAAAGCGTTACGGGGCGCATTTTCCATAGCAACAAAAAGCAAGGTTAGTTCTATTTTTATTTACTTTAATATCTAATACTTAATTTGTTCTGCTATCAGCTGCTGCTTGCCACAAATTATCCAACTGGCCATGTGAAAGCATCTGATTGGCAATTGATCGCAAGAAGACGTTACAATTAGAATAAATTTATGCTCGAATCGTTGACAAGGGTACTTTAATGAATTCGCTAAGTGGTCTATAATTTGGTTAGATTCAAAGTTATGCAATTTGCTGGCTGATTGTGAAAGTAGTCCAAAAAGTCAGCGCGTTCTTATCATGGATATTGTTCTGTGCTGCATTAAAAGTTCTTTGCTTTTCCATTAATATTTTTTTATATCAGCCATGTGCAACGCATGTTGATCCACTTTCTCCAGCATTTTCTCAAGTGGATTTCCTGGAGCTGCACTTTAAAGAAGTCATGTGCGATTTCTATTATGCCATTCGAAACAAAACGAAAAAATAGAAAAAACAAATATGGTAGAGGCACAGCCTGTGGCAAGTAATCGTATCCTGTTGCGCTGTCAACTTTTCTCATTTCCTGCAACTGTCGACAACTCTTCGACGTACTGCCAGCTAGAAACTCAAAGTCGAAGTCCGCATAACCAGCAGTTGATTTCCTTGGACGTTCACTAAATAAAATGAGCGACATCTGGCACGCACAACCAGGCGGCGGCTTCGGCGGCAGTGGCAACAGATAAGAAAAATGAAAGAAACAGAGGCTGGAATTTCGACAGGGGCGGGCAAACAGCTTGAACGTTACAGTTATGTGAAGAGCAGCAATTGAAAAAAAATAAATAAATACAGAAAATCCCATGCCGTGCCCCAAAACAAAACTTGTATTGATGGCGACGCGGCTGGGGCTATTAAAAGCAAAAGTGAAAAATACCGTCGAGCCACTGATGTGCAACTTTAGCAACAACAACAGCAACACTAACGACTGCAGCAAGTGCATTGTCGCCGCATGTTGCCTTGACAACTTCGCAACTTCCTTGTCTTTGTCTTGGGGCGTGATGGCTGTTGTGTAAAAGGCGAAAAAAAAAACAAAAATTGAAACAAGCCAACTAGAAATATGATTTAATTTCAAGTCAATCCACTTAGCAGCCACAACAGCAGCGCCAGCGCCCAAAACACTTCGACTGTGTTGCTGTCCATCGTCGCACACGCAACTCTCGACAAATTGCGAAAGAGTTTCGGTTTCAGACTATTATTGTTGTGTCCAAGCCAAAGTCAAAAGCGGGCTGCACGCCGCATACACACACACACACACATACACATCCATATGTACATACGTACATATGTAGGCAGGTATGTGTGTATTTACATTGATTCGAATTCCAATTTATTTATGCGGTCGCATCGCTGGCGATTTCATAACCGTCCATGCTGCTCTCACCGCTGCCGTCGTCGTCATTGCTCTCTGACGCGACGCTACGATTTTGGTTTTTTAAACAAATTTATTTTTCATTTAAGGTTTCTTTTTTTGTGGCACGCTGCACGCCTAAATATAAAGTTTTATACAACGAAATGTGCTCTCTATACATACCCAAATGTATGTATGTATGTATGTATGTAATTTTGCTTGAGTTACAACAATAGCAATAGCAACCAAAAGTCGTTTCAATGTTGGTAACTTTCTCCACCTGCCAAACCGCGTCTGCGCAGCTCCAAAAGCAACAGCAGCAGCAGCAGCAACAACAACAACAACCAGAGCGTCGAACGAAACAACGAAGGCGCGCGCGCGCGCGTGTTTTTGTACGCGTGCGCCGTTGCCGCGTTATTTTGTTACTGTTGTTGCTTCAGACGAGTTGGCAACAAAACTTACACATTTGTCATGTATTTGATATGCTGTGGACGGACTATGGACTATGCAGGCTCTTAATAATAAAAAGTTGCTCACAAAATTGCGTCGTCTTCGTCAGTGGCTTCGCCGATTACGCGATTTTGTTTTGATCGCATGCAAAACTCTTGCGATTTTTTGTTGCTGTTGCAATTTATTCAGCATTGGCATTTCCAGCATACCTATGTATGTAATTGTTGTTGTTTGCTCTACAAAATATTAGCCACCTGAGTCAGGGCACAGGGCATACATACATACGTAAATACATACATATTTTTATTACTGGCGCTAATAAAGTGTTAATGGTTTTGAAGAGAGTTTTGAAGATGAAAGTTTTGACAAGTCTTGTGCCAAGTGCGCATTTTCAAAACCGCCCGGGGCTGGCCTACTCGTATAACCATATAGATGTTTGTACCTACATATATTGAGCCGAGACCTTCAAATCGCATTAAAGTGCAACCTTTACATTGAAGTTGGCGACTTCCGCTGAACAAAGGCAAAACACCTTCCGAAATGGAGGCCAACAGCTCCAATGCAAACAACGCAGAGCGTTTGTTAAAAGACATACGAGCCAGACGGACAGGCGACGGCCACGATGACGGCCTACATGTTACAAGAGTTCCAGCAAAGTCATAAAATAGCGTAATAAAAATGATGTTCGATTAAATCAGTCCATGAAAGAGGCAAACGGCAAGACTGTGCGTCGACGGTGTTGGTGTCCGCTACACCACACTCATACACACGCCACTTAAATTCACTTTGTAATGCAAATATACGTTGCACAAACACACACACATACATACATATATACTAACACACGCCTCGGCTATAAACATATCGAAGTTTATGGTTATTAGACGCGCATCAGCGCCATCAAAACAGGCAAACATTGAAAGAAGCCAGCAACAGCAACAAAAACAGAAGCAACAGCTACAACAACAACAACAACCAGCCAACATTGGCAGCCAAGCCTGGCCAAGCCAACAAGTTAGAGGCTGCATTTGTCGCTTATGCAAATTTCAAGCTAATATCTTAACTGTGTGTCGACCGTCAAGAAAAGAGGTCAACTTCCAAATATAATAAAAATAAAATGGAAAAACTTCAAGCTAGCTGGCATTGATGCCTTTTTCATGATCAGGGATCAAACCGCAGAACATTAGCACTAAAAAAGAGAAAGATATATTATCTTTAACTGTTAGTAGTCATTACGTTCAGCAGAGTTCAAAGCTCAAACTGCTTGACTTCAGTAGAAAAATTCCCAAATGAAAAAAAATACAAACACTTAACTAACACTCGAAACATTTGAAATTGTTGTTGAACGCCTTGAATGCTGATGACTTTTAATGGACAAATTGTGATCGTCAAAGCTGGCTGCCCGACTGCCTGGCTGCCTAGCTGCCTGACTTTGGCCCAAACAGACGACAACGCATTCCGCAACATTCCGCGCCCAAATGCTAGCAATTACGACTATCTACATAAATACCTACGTTCGTACTCGTAAAATGTACATACTCGTATGTGCACACTTATTTTCTGTACAGTAAAAATTCGAACACCAATCAAAAGAGTCTGAAAGTCTGAAAAGGCAAGTCGGAATAAAAATTGCCTGTGAATGTTTACGTAATATAGAATAGTAATAAATGCCATAACAGTTCACAAGCCTTAAATATTTATGATTATTCATAAAGCCTTTTACCTCAAAACGCAACAATATTGATGTACTTGTATATACTTATTTTGCTTTTACATCAAATGAATATCGCTACATATTCTTTTTCAAGGATTTCTAATAGTGCTCATTAGCCCCACTCTAGAGTCTAGACTCTAGACTCTCCCATATTGTATTAAGCTTAGTTTGCTTTAATCACAACAAGGATAGCACTATTCCATTCATAATATGCTTAGGTTCTAGAATATTGAGGTTATTTTAAGTTTGAAAAAAACTACAATAAGGATTTAAAAAGGATTTAAAGAATTGAGTCCTTTTTCTGAATTCGATTAGCTTATGGAAAGTTGAAACTGGAAATAAAATAGTTCTTCAAAAAATTATTGACTTAGTCAGTTTTTAAAAGTCTCAATCATGGTTCAAGATTTCAAGAAGTCGGATTTCAATTCGTTATATTTTTTATAATTAATTAGATACTTGCAACAATCAGACCTGTTGTTTAAGCTTCCACAATGTTGTTCAGTTAAAAACATGTAGAAATATAGCTGATACTTATATCGAAATCGGTAATACTAAATATGTAATTAGTTATTTTTATCTGCATATTATGGGTATACGTATTATTAGTGCTAAAAGGCACCACCTTTCGACTCGCCTAAGCAATGAGGCATGACTTTAGCAAACAATCGGCTCGTTCCAGTCTGCTGGAAAAAGTATATCTAATATAATATAAGGGTATAGTTTTAATGTTTGTTTCTATCGTAAAATAAAATTTTTAATGATATTTGACTAAACAAATTGAAGGAACAAATTGAACGAACAAATTGAAGGAACAAATTGAACGAACAAATTGAACGTTTGGAACAAAAAAAGGTTAATTTGCCATTTGAGCCCTTTAACATGCCTTGGCTTTATTTTAATGGAAAGTTGCTTATATGGAGTCTCGCCCGTTCCTCTCCATATTGAACGGGTGTACTGTGTTTCGATTTGTCTGCGTGCTTCGTATCAAATGGCATAATCAAGTTACTAAGTGGGTGCCATGCAGAAGGCTCATACAGCTGGCAGGTCTATCGTAAATTCAGGCACGTCAACTTCATGGCAGTCCCCCTCCCAGACCCATTTGCCATGCCGGATGCAATTGCAAGTGGCGGCGTCAGCAATTTGTAGGCCGACATACGCACCAAGCCGTGGCACAGACGTCGCCAGCAGATATGAGCAGCCCACTTGGGCCCACTTGGGCCACCATTTGGTGGGCCGATGTCGTCCCCAAGTTGCGACAAAATGTGCGTTCATGTCTCTGTCACAAAAGCCACGGCCTATGTTTTATTGCCAGTTGTGGCCGTCTCCGCTGGTACGTGTATTTGCGTTGGCCAAACACTGGACAGCAGCGACGCTGACTGCAACTGCAGCTGCCGATGTTGGCTGGCCAGCTACAAGTATATCCATTGACTGCACTTGTCTACGCGTTTACGTTGGCGCAATTCAAATATTTGTTTTGTG